GCTTATGCAGAGGAATAGTTTTTTTTTGATCTGTGAATATTTTTTTGATCCCGGAAATAATTTTTTTTGATCCCTTAAATAGTTTTTTTTGACCCCTCTCCCGCCGTCTCCCATGTCAAAAAATCAGCGGATTTTGGCGTGGATTTTCATGTCTGCTGATGATCAGTCTTAACCGTGATGGCAGGAGGAGGCCTGAGACTTGATTTTGATCATTTCGGAACGTTTTCGGAGGATTTTAATGGGCCTAAGGCTTGGGCTTTGAGTCTTTGAGCTTTGTAGAGCTCAGATTAGCCCAACGTCCAGAACACCTGGACCATCAGAACCCAATCAAACCCAAACCCCCCAAAACCCAAACCCTGGATCTTCGCAAGCCCTTCTACTTAAGCCCACCGAGACCCCAATCAAAACCAAACCCCCCAAAACCCAGCCCTAGCCACTCCTAAACCCACCAAACCAACCCCTCACAGCCCTGCCTTATACTGTACTACTCTCGTACTACTACTGTACCACTGTACCACTGTACTACTGCTGTACTTATGTACTGCTCTCCCGGGACAGGGGGATCTGGGGAACGAACAGGGATGTGATGCATTCAGGGCGCCGGAAAAATGTTTGGGGGGGACACAACACCGTGTCACCTTAAGGTAATTCAGCACCGCAACGAGACCGACACATTTGGGAAGATGTCTGATGATCACTCGGGTCCTCACGCCGTTGCAGAGGCAAGGAGGCCCAATGCCTTACAATGACATGGTCATTAAGCATGCACCCTGTTCCCGTCGCAGAGCTCTGGAGAAACCAAGCTTGTGACTGCAATCGACCATGCAAGACGGGGCGTCTCATAGCGCACATTGAAAGCTAGAGCCTTTCAGGTCACAATGCCACCTCGTTCTACTTGCACTCGGAAACAAATCGAAAGCCAAGCATTGAGACATTAAGACGTCCACCCCGAAAACGATCGCATAGGCCACTGTTGGAAGCAGAATGTTGAGGCCGACCGCTAAAGCATTCAGCCGCTTCCTGCACAAAGACGTGCTGCTGAGTAACCCAGGTCGCTGACTGCACGACGTACTTGGACCGTGCCTTTTGCCTGGCACAAATGCTTGTGTCGGAAGTCCGCCGGCTCCTGACACACGGTCGCTTTGAAACAGCCCCGAAAACTCTAGATTCCACGCAGTGCGGCATGCCTGTCTGGGCGAAGGTGCTGTAGGGCATGGGCCCTCGGCGCCCCGCTGGCGCCTGCCACAAGGCGACCGCAAGCCCCCCCAACAGGCAGATGCTGAGTTCACAAGTCTAATAACTTGAAAAGTATTTAGACTAATTGCTAACCAGGTCGCTCGAACTACGTTGCGAGGCTGAGAGGCTGGGCGGTGCTGATTTACGTTAAGCACCTTTGAGCCGAGCCTGCGGTGTTCTCACATGCCATGCCATGCACATGATCAGTCATGGTAGTTTGCCATGGGTCCACCAACTCTCGCCTGTCCTGAGTCCAGTGCCGAGTCTGATCGGAGTTGGCTTTCTGCCTGCTTGCACCCTCCTCGGCCTTGTCTGCATCCTTGAAGCTGGTAAATTGAAAGAATGCCAATGCCACTTATTTAGCCGAGCCAGGCCTGTGGCAGCCCTGTGGCAGGCGGCGCCCAGGAAACAGCTTCGGACTCCACTTCCTCAGATTCTTCGGATGGACATCAGCGCTCTCTGGTATGGAGGGCAGAGCATCCGGTTACGCGTGCCTGGGCAGGCATGGGCCGCGCTCGCATTTCGGCGATACGAGACTGCACGAGGAATCAAGCTTGGTTGAGCGTCTAGCGACTCCTATACACTCTTGCTCCACTGGCAGCAAGCATGGGGCCAGGGCCTCCTTCGCCGATGCCCAAGCCGCCGTGGCCGCCGCCTCCGCCACTTCTCTCGCGTGCTCCTCCACAGCCGTAGCTTTGGCCTGGTCCTTCGCAGCCTTGCTGGCTGCTTTAGCTGCTTTAGCAGCCGCAGCTTCAGCTTCGAGCTCCTGGTTTCGCTGCTTCGTGCTGCTCAGTTTGGATGCCAGATCTTGCATTTCTGCAGCCTGCGCCGCAAGCTCTTCCTCCCTGCGTGCTGCGAGTGCAGCTGCCTCTTCCAGCTCTTCGTTCCGCTTCTTTGCCGCGACCAGTTGACTTTCAAGATCCTTTAGCTGGGCCTCACGCTGAGCTGCCACTTGCTCTTGCAGTTGCGCTGCCTTCGCTGCTTGTGCGGCCTCTTCTGCCGCTTGCCGGGCAGCGGCAGCCGCTGCCTCAAAAGCTGCCTCGTTCAGATCCTCCTCCTGCGACGGACGTCGTCCGCTTCGCCCCTCGCTCCCGGGCCCCTCGCTCCTTTTCTGAGGCTCCTTGGCACCCCGAGCTCCTTGAGCCACTTGGCCCTGGCGGCGATCCTGCCTGTGCCTTCCATCCTTCTTGGAGCCAGAGCTCAGGCTTCCACTTCCCAAACTTCCGCTTCCCAAGCTTCCGCCGCTTCCGCCGCTGCCGGTTCTGCCCTTCCCTGCCTTCTCTGTTTTCTCTGCTTTCTCTCTCTTCTCACGACTGGCTGCGAGGAAGGCGGGCCACACCGACGGGCAAGTGTCATGCTCAGGGACTCCGGGAATGTGCAGCGCATCTTCTTCTGTGGGAATGTGGGTCATCTGTGACTGCCTGTGCCTGCCATCTGACTTCGCACTTGCCTGCACGCTGCTGGATGGCGATCCCTTCTTGCTATATGTGCTTGAGGTTTCGTCCATGTCCATACTTGACGGACCTTGGCGGGCATCGCCGTTTCTGTGCGCATGGGAATCATGGGAATCCTGGACGTCCTGCTTGTCAGCTTTTGGGGCTCGCTCTCGCTGCTCTCGGACAGGCGGAGGGCACTGGGCAGCCCATCCCGGCAAGTAGCCGCGTGCGGGGCACATGGCATCAGTCTCGGCCTCTCCAGGAGCCCGCTCAGGCCCTCTCAGTCCTTGCGGTTGCACCGGCTGCGCTTCCTCGCTCATTGACGCAAGATTCACGCTGCTAGCCGCTACCAGTAGCCACACAAATCAGTCCATCCTCGCTGCGGAGACTGTCGACCGGGCCGAGGCCCGTCTCTTCAGAACCTCCAGGAGAGCTCAGGAGAAGACTGCAGGGCAGGTCGGGCAAGTCGTCTACTCTCATCGCCTGCATCGCCTCGCAAGCTCCCACCTCGGCTGCTGCAAAAATGGCCCGTAGCCTCTCAAACTCAAAGGGACCTCTGAATTCTCTGAGCACTCCGCTGCCATGCAAGCGATTGCGCATGGCGGCCCGCAGCTGCAAATTCTCGCGCCGAATAACATCGACCTTGCAATGCTCAACCCAGAGGCCTCAACTCTGCGATGGTCAGGCCTGCCCCCCTTGGCTCCCTGCATCTCCTTCCAAAAGTTTCAGAATCGCGGTGAGGTTGGACACCTGCATGAGTTCATCATGGCAAGCTTGCCGCTGCCGCTTGCACGTCGAGTTGTTGTGCATTTGTCATCGGACTATGGTCGCAGACCTGCTCCTTCGTTTCGATGCACTGCTCCAGAACTCCGTCCATGCCCTGCGATCCACGAGGTGATGCCATGCCCGCGGCCTTCCACATCAAGGACTCAAGCCTCTGTAAATCTGTCAAGGTCCGGGTTCCGCACACTGGCTCCCAGAGGCATTGTCATGGGCTCCTGCAGCACGAGACGCATAAATTCATGACGGTGCGTGTGTGGTAGCATCACCTCGTACTGTAATTTCGAATTAATTTTTCACGCGCAGTCCAGGGCTAGAGTCACAAATCCATTGAATAGGTGTTCTGGAGTTACATACGAATACGAGATCTTCAGAAACAGTAGCAACATAGGATTTACGCTCTCACACTCGGACTCTGCCAGATGAGGTTCATAGGTCGGCAGGATTCGATGCGAAACCCAATGCTAAAATCGAACAGAGCACCGAAAATGCTTCATTTTCGGCATAACCCTCTTCGTTCCCATGTTTCCTGTTTTTCCATGTGTTGCCCCTATCTTTTCTCCTGAGTTTAACAAATGAACTTAAACAGGATGCCGGTGCAACACCCCCGGTTTCGATGCAAAAGATTCGACAAAGCACTGCAAACTGCTCGTTTTCGACAATCCCAGTTTGGTTTCTATGTTTTTTCCCGTTTGGTCTATTGTTCCCCTATTTTTCTCCTGCAGTAAACAAAAATACACTTAAACAAGATTTCGGTGCGAAACCACAGGTTGCGATAAAGCATGGGAAGCGGTTCATTGTCGGCACAATCAATGCGTCGTTGAAACCACCCCTCTCCTCAAGCCTATCGACAAATCATAATTAGACCTAGTACCATGGACCTCGGGGCGCGGTCAGGGCAAGTCTGTCGGAACCGATCGACACGCAAAACCTCCTGGCTTTTCGAACATGTTCTCGGAATAGAATGTGACTCAACTAGCTGAGACTATTTCACTTGGCCATCGGTGGTAGTATGCGATCAGTCATTGCATCACGCACCCGCCAGCCTGTGGAATGCTGCCATGCCCTGCACCAAGGTTCTGCATCCTGGGCCCGGCATGACGTCTCTCACATAGCAGCATGGTTCCCCATCCGCGCATCATCACAACCCTGCTATTGTAACGTGGAAGGCCGGACGCGAGACACCTACTGCATGCAATCTGCACTTGTGTTTTAGACACACTCTACTCTTGACACACAACTCACACTCGTGACTCAAACTTTTCTCGGCGATGAAAGCATCTGCCTGAGCTTGATGCTGCGACCAGGCCTGAAGGCTTTGAGGACCGAGAATAAGAAGTCGGTGAGAAGCCAGCAAAGCTTCTGTTCACTGGCCATGACGGGCTGCCGAAAACCAGTGTCACTGGCGGGTATCTGCAAAAGCTGCAGGTGGCTCTGAAACCACACCCAGCTTTGCAACAAAGCGAAGCCCGATGACTTGCATTGGTCGGAGGCAAGGCCCCCGCACCGTTCACTTACAATGTACATTCCCAAACGCCCTATAAACTCACTTGCAGAGGCGTGTTCGGCCCAAGAGATCCGAGCATTTCCAAGCCAGGAGGTGGGCGAAAGCCTGCCAGGAAGAGGCTCTTAGACTCTGAGACACACTGCCTCATGCCCATGGCACTGCCACTCGAGCCAGTCTGCCTGGCCCAAGATTCTCTGGACGGTTAGCTGTGGCTCCGTACCTGAATGGTCAGGACGATAAGCCGTGGGGACGGCTTGCAGCTTGCGACGGAGATGCCACAACACCATGTCTTCTGGCACGAGGTCCTGCAACTCAGAATTCGCCCGTCCGAGACAATGTTGCTGCTGTGGACAGCATGTTCGAAAAAGTGTGCCTTGTCTTCCCGGCACCTGGATGATCCCAAATGCACCACTACTCTCTGATTGCACGCTCGCTTCTTCTTCGCTGCGCCTCGCTGGCTCCGATACCATTGGCATGCCACCGAGGCCATCCAAATCCTTCGACTCTCACAGTTTCATAGCAAGGAGCCCACTGTTTTCGCCCAGCCTCGAGAACCTTCATCTCTGCTGCCTGTGCCTCACAGATCTTAAAGTTGAGTTGGATGCCCAAGAAGGCTGCCCCGAGAACGGATCGCAGTCAGCGCAAATTACAGTCGGGGGTAGGGAGGAGGTTCACCAGAGCCCGGGCTTCCTTTCGGCACGTCTGCTAAATCCTGTCAGCCTTTCAATTTGCTGCACTGCTGGCCACCAGTTCAAGGGTTTACGAGCGCTCCGTCCTGGCCATGGGTCTCCCCCTTAGTCTTCGGGCGAGCGGCCAGCCACTCCGAGGCGCTGCCCACCTGACCGCAGTCATGATCAAGTTCATTGCCGCTCTCGAGAAATGGCTTCCCTAGCAGCTGCAGTGGCATCGTTTTCATCTGCCCTGACTCTCGCCAGACACTTCACACGTGACGCTGCTCGATTCCGTTGCATCCTAGGAAGGAGTTTCCTCGCAAACGATATTTGCTGGTTCGTTGCTGCGCTGCACGAACCACGAACAGAAAACCGAAGCTCAAGTCTAACAAATTAACTCTCCGGTTTGGCTTGCTTAAAGGAACCCGTGCTATGTCGGCATGAACTCAGCAATCGAGCCCAGGAAGGCAAGGCAAGGGCGCATGCACGCAGCATGGCAACCCCAGCCCCCGCGCAGCCACTTTCGACTGCACTTTCCGGGGCTTCTGCTGTCCACAGCTATGTGCTCGCAAAGGGCCCGGCGTAGTTCACGCGTCAGGCTCCAGTCACCAATCTCAGAGAACATGTTTCTTTTCCCAACATCGGAACCTTGAAAGCACGGGCAGAGCGAGGCTGAGAAGTGTAATCAAAGAAATTCGAGCTAAAAGTCTCGACAAGCGGCTTGTTGTACAAAGAAAGACCTGCCACGATGATGAAGGCAATCGCAAAAATCGAGACGCCAAACATTCGTTTGTGTTGACTGGCGAGCTGGTCGAGCATTTTCTCATTTGACCGGCTCAGGGAATCCAGGTGCCCGCTAATGTCACCACCGGCTGCAGACTTGTGAACATTCTCGATATCGGAATGTAAATCTGCAAGCTTCTTTCCGCGAGCATCTGTATCCCGGTGCGCGGCAGCATGTATGTCGGCAAGCTCCTTCTTTATCGCCTCGAACTCCTCGCCTAGGTTGTGGCCGGTTTTCTTGTCGATTTCCGCCTTGACGCTTTGGAAGCTCCTGAGTCTGAGCACGAGACATGACAGCCTCAGCGGCAGCTCTGCCTGGAATCTTGTTGCAACTCTTGCAGCCCAAGACTCGACTCCACGGCAGCTACTCGCTTGCTGAGGGCCTGAATCGCTGCCTTCATCTGCTCCCGCTGAGGCTTCGATTCGATGACGAGCTTAAAAACCTTGCAAGTTCGGGCTGCGACACAGATTGTAAAGTGCCGGTAATGCCAGCCAAGCAGCCATGTTTGTAAGCTCCTTGATAGCCTGCCAGGGCATTCAAACAGCAAGCGTTGCAGTCGCAGCGAAACACACATCAGCATAAAGCTTCGGCAAGTTCAATCTGGCCTCAGACTCAGCACGATGATCCCTAAAGCTGGAGTGTGCACCAAGAACGTCTTCTTTGTCCCCACTTGGGGCTTTCACGTCAGGAATGGTAGCCATTGAATCCTCACCCTGCCCATCTTCGTAGTTTAGCACCTGAGCAACCCATAATGGCACCAGACAAGCAAAAAATGCAAAACGAACACCCAGCTTCATCTTGAACACGACACCTGACCACTACATGACCACTCGACAGCCACGAGCTCAGCGAGCGAGGCCGCAACCACGCTGAGCTGAGCAGAGCAGTTTGTGCCACATCTTGACTTGACATCCCTTACTGACAGTAGGATACCGTACTGTGCAAGCTGGCATGTGGCAAACACCTCGATCTCAAACCGTTGATTCGGCCTAGGTGCAGAATTTAACAAAGCCACGATGCTTTGTCACAATGCCTATTCGAGCTCTGTTTTATAATCCACACCGACGACCCCGATTCAATTGAAGACTGGTGGCTTTGAGGCCTTTGAGCTCCACAAAGGCACTTCTTTCCCGGGCAGGGTAGTACGTGTCTTTGGAGCCGCCATAACAGGAGAAGCCGATGAAGCCGCCTGCTTTGGCATTCCTGAGGCTTGAACAGTGTGGCAGCTGCCGCTGGTGCATCGGTTTCAATGTTTCAATACCACCAACAAAAAAAAACCTCCACAGATAGAACACTGCCATGCAGAGGAGGTGACGCGCTCACGGTGATGGCGCCCTTCTTCTCGCCCTTGGTCTCTACTGAGACCACCATCTCGTGAGGCTTCACTCTGACCTGAATCACATGATCCTCGCCGCTCTGGAAGTCAAGCTGCAATGCTGTGTCCTGAGTTGGCGTAAACACTCTGCTAAGTTTTCTGTCGAACCTGCTGGCTTTGCAGGGAGGCTTGTAGTCGTGTGTGGTCGTCTCGACTCGCAGAAACTAACGAACACGTGGTGTTCAAGCTGAAGGCCGGCCGTAGACAAACCGCAGCATTTAACTGCCACTACAACTAAGGACGAAGCAGCCTTCACGAAGGACGAGCCGTCGCCGTAGCTGGCACTCACAGAGGTCTTGCCTCCTGCGTCTTTGTCTTTGCCAAAAAAAACCTTGGGACGTGGGATGCCGCTCAGACTCTCAAGTGCATCAGCTTTATTGCCGCATGTCACATGTGTTGTAGCCTGTTTCCGGTCACACAGCAACAGTGCTACTTGAGACGAGCAGCTCCGAGTCCTTTGTACTGAGTCTTGTAACCATAAGTGCCCAGCCCAAGCTGCTTGGCATATGGTGCATACCATGTGCCCGCAATCAGCTCATCTTGATTGTGAGCATGTTTTGTACTTGCATCGTTTGCGACGTCTGATGCATTCTCCGTGGTATACCAGAAGGCAAAGCCGTCCTCCTCGAAGCCTGCTACCCCTGGCTTGGCTGAGAAAGTAAACTCTGCCGAGAAATCACTGGTCTTCAAGGGCAATCTGCTGAAAATAGTGCCTACCCGATCAGCAACACCTGGAGTCAAGATAAGACTTCTGTGACTGGGCATGGTCGTCCCCGTCAAATGCCACATCTTTGCCAGATGGTTAATGTCTGGCGGGTTTGATATCGAATGCCCTGGTAAGGGCGACGGCCCCGCTTGGGCGTACCGCGGCAAACAGCCTGCCACTAGTAGCAGTACGCTGCCGAAGGCGCCGCATTTGCTCCGGCCCCTAGCCATGAGGCCCATGAGGCCCACGAGGCCTTACCAGCCGTCGGTCAGAAAACAGCCAAACAAGCTCTGGCTGTACCGTGGGTCCTGCAGGGGTTGCAAACAATTAACCCCGGCACGATCCTGGGCTTCGACGCAAAATAACGTTGCCCTTTGCCTCCGAAGCTGGCTCGCTTCCCGCACGCGCACGCGCGAGCGCGCGGTTCGGCACGCGGCCCTATCCTACAGCTTGAGCCCAGATTTGCCGCGGCAGACGTGACGTGACGGCAAGGGCTGCAATGCGCTAAACGTTTCGGAGCGTGCACAGAGCCATTGCTGCTCATACGCGGGCCTGGTCTGCAAGCGGCTTGGCTGGCCTTCCTGCATTGCAAATTAGTAGATCTTGGAAATTGCATTGGAGACGAGGGCACAAGGTCTCCTACGTCCGGCTCTGCTTTCTTCAACTCTTCAGGTGGCACTGATAACCAGTCCGCCACCGCAACCTTCACAGAGGCACTGTCGCAGCCACTAAAGCTCGCTGTAAGCATCTCTATAACCGTCGCAGTCTTGAGGTTTTGGAGTGTCGCACCTTCTCGTGCCGCGGTGACGAAGCTGGTTCCGGGTGCGACGGGTACGATGGCTCCGAGGCGGCCGTGGTCTCATTGACCGCCGCCTTGGTGGGCGTCTCACTTTCATCCCCCGCGCCGTCGATGCTGGTGTGGCTGTGGGGATCAGCCTGTGGTTCTTGTGGATCGTGAAGCCATTCGTAGATAGCTTGCTGGGTCACGAGGCCAGCAGGCACTTTTTCTGCTTCTTTCTCTGTCTCGTGGTCAGGACGGTTCA